TTAGACAATTAAATACATAAACAACTTCCAATCCACACGTCGGGTAATGGGCCGGAATTGGTGCCTTCGACCCATTGATATAGTGAGAAGACTCACCTTAGACTGCTGATAAATAATAATTACTCGGCTACAGGTCCGAAATTCTCACACTGAAAATATACAACTTACCCTAATTAGAATTATGATACAAACCTACTGATGGGACCAAAATCCCTAAGTCCAAGCTCTTCAAATAAGGCCCAAATGCCTTTATCCTTTAATGGGCCCAACTACCGTTGGTCCAAAATCAATAACAGGCCATAAGGCCCCAAACGCCCAACCTTGCCACCTAAGGCCCATTCCATGAAACACAAGGCCCACAAAGGAAACTAAGCCCACTTATCCTATGTGGGCCATGACCCAGCACTATTTAAGGCCTAAGAGTCCCAAAAGCCTAAATCTCACCCCATCTGCCCAGAGGACGTACGCGCAACGTACACCATCAGTACGCTTAGCACACTCAGTCTTAAGGAAGTACGTGTAACGTACATCCCAGTACACCCAACGTACAAGGCTGCTAAGCATAACCAACCATTAAGAGCTTAATCCATGCAGCCACTTCGTCAAATTCCAGATCTTGCTCAGTTTAAAGGTCCTAGGGTATAAAGTTGGCAACTTTATGCCTTTGCATGTTTCATAGGTGCCCAACATCCCATTTTTCCCATTAAGACTCACTTTAAGAACTCAAACCCATTGGTGCCATTACAACCATCAAGATAGCATTTTTATGCTTCTAACATGCCAAAGGGACTCAGATCTAACATTTCTAAGCTCTGGAGTTGCTCAAACTCACAAAAGAGGATCCATGGACCAAAAATGAACTCACTACCAAACCCTAACTCAAACTAGAAAAAGGATTAGGAAGGTATGAACTTTTTACCTCCAAAAGCTCTCCAAGAAGATGTGGATGTAGGATCTAGAAGCTCAACCACGTCCTAGGCTTGCACACCAAGGTCCTCTTCTTGAAAACTCACTAAAATGGCCACCAAAGACACTTTAAAGCTCAAGGCTCATGCTCACTATCAATTTAGGGTTTAAGGGACGATAACAAGCTATGGAGGCTAATAAGGGTGAGGTCCAAATGCCATAAGTGAGGTTAAATAGGGCTCATGACCTAAGATTAGGGTTTTTGTCTCTAGCCTCATACGCCCTGTGTACACCTTAGTGCGCCCAACGTACATGGTTGAAGTCCACGACCATAACACCCATGTACACTAAGTGTACACATATGTACGCCTAACATACGAAGGGGCCACTCATGCAAAAATAAATTTAACCCAAGGGCTAAAAGGTAACATACCTAAATTCCGAGTGTTACAAAGGTAGCTTATGTTGAAGGCTTACAACACAATTTAATAAGTGTTTCTCAATTGGTTGTATGTATTTGGTTAAAAGTTTTGTTTGATGAAGAAAGATCAATAACTGAACATAAAGATTCAAAGAATGTTCTTCTTAAGTCCAAAAGAAAATGAGAGATGTGACCTATTGATATGAAGCCCATTGAACGATAGCCATCTGTTTGGTTGCTTGCGAAAGAAACTTTGGACGATAGTTGGTTGTGGCATAGAAGGCTCTCGCATCTCAATTTCAAGGATATTAACAAACTTGTTTTGGGTGATCTTGTGCGAGGACTTCCACGACTCAAATATGACAAGGATTATTTATGTGCCACCTGCGAAATGGGAAAGCAAAGTCGCAAAAGTTATTCATCTATTATGAATACCAAGATTGTTGAGCCACTCGAATTACTTCTCATTGATTTATGTGGGTCATATTTAATTTAGAACATTGGTTGGAATAAGTATACACTTGTTATTGTTGATGATTTTTCTCGAATTACATGGGTTTTCTTTCTTAAACAGAAATCTGAGACCTCACAAAAGATGATTGATTTTGTGAAGAATGTTGAGTTATAGCTACAAAAGCTTATAAGGAATATTCGTAGTGACAACGAAACTGAATTTAAGAATCAAGTTTTTGAGGAATTTTTGAAAAATAAAGGCATTAGTCATAATTTCTCATCTCCTTACACACCACAACAAAATGGTGTCGTTGAAAGGCGAAATCGTTTGTTATGTGAAGCTGCGAGAACAATGCTTTCATTTGCAAATCTTCCATTCTATTTTTGGACTAGATGACATCGGAACAACATGTTTTACACAAAACATATATTACATTAATAAGCGATTTTTGATTACTCCTTATGAGATCTTAAATAATCGCAAATCTAATGTGAAATTTTTCCATGGGTTTGGATCCAGGTGCTTCCTTTGCAACTTAAAAAAGAATCAAAATAAGTTTGATGCGAAAGCAGATGAGGCTATTTTCTTGGGATATCCTCTTACTTCAAAATCTTATCGAGTTCTCAATAAGAAATCAAGGAAAATTGAAGAAAGTTACTATGCCACTTTTGATGATAAATACATCAAATCATATCAAAAAAATGTCAAAAAATGCAAAGAAACTTTTCCATCATCATGTTAAAAAACTATTCAATTAATCACATTTGATGATGATTTTTTTTCTATTTCTTTGATGAACATGTCAGGGCGATTTCATCTGAAGGAAAATCAACTGATAATCAAGGAGATGAGTTGTTGAAGTTGGTTGATGAAGCAATAAATAATATTGAATTTCGTGTTGACGGGGAGACATCAGTTACATCTAATCATTCAAATACTCTAGTTGCAGGGAGCATGGATACTATGATTTTAAAAGAAGGCAAAAAAGAGCACACTTCAGGTGAAAATCCAAGTGTTGATACACCGGTGCATAGGGAGAATACAACACATCAAGATGTTGAAAATCCAAGGGGAGAATTCTTTCAATGATGATAATGTCTAGGGGAGAATTCCAATAATCATAATCATGTCCAAAGGGAAAATCAACAAACTAGAGTTATTGGTGATTATTCAGAAACTGAAGAAGTTTATTCTGAAGTTATTCCAGAATATAATTCCAATTATCTTCCTTTAATCAAGTGGACAAAATATCATCCAAGATCGCAAGTGATTGGTGAAACATCAACTAGTGTTCTTACTCGTGCTCAACAAAGGGAAAAAATCATTGCGGAATGTAAATCAAGAATTTTGCAGTTCAAATTTTTTATTCCAAAAACAATCAAAATTGCTCTTGATCATTTTGATTGGGTTGAAGTAATGCAAGAAGACTTTTTTTATTCCAAAACACCTCCAAATGTTTTAGTTGTAGGTAGTTGTAGGTCTGAAATGGGGTTTTTGCAATAAATTAGACAAAGAAGGTAATCTTCTGCAAAACAAAGCATGTCTCATAGTAAAAGGGTATTGCCAGGAGGAAGGAATTGACTACGAAGAGACATTTGCTCTAGTTGCGTGACTGGAATCTGTTTGTATTTTCTTTTCATATGCTGCTCACAAGAATATTACAGTTTTTCAAATGGACGTAAAGTCTGCATTTCTCAATGGAGAACTTAAAGAGACAGTTTATGTTGAACAACCACGAGGATTTGTTAAAGATAAGTATCCAGATCATTGCTATATACTTGAAAAAGGTGTATATGGTCTTAAGCAAGCTCCTTGTGCATAGTAAGAAACTCTTGCTTACTTTCTTGAGCAATCTAACTTTAAACAAGGTTCAGTTAAACCCACCTTCTTTCGTAAAAACATTGGTGATCCTTTGATGATTGTCCAAATTTATATTGATGACATTGTTTTCAGTTTAACAGATCCAAATTTGACTGATGAATTCTGAAAATTAATGAAAACTAAATTTAAGATGAGATCAATGGGTCCAATTAACTTTTCCTTGGATTGATATTAGAAACAAAGCAGAAGGGGATTTTTCATAAATCAAGAGGCTTTCACAAAGATGTTGCTTACAAATTTTTTAATTGAATGGACATATGAAAGTGAAAACACATATGACCTTTGTAACAAAGCTAACACCTTCTCTTGAAAAACTAGCAGCCAATCTTACTTTATATCGACAGATGATTGGGGCATTGCTTTATTTAACATCTAGTCGACCTGACGTAATGTTTGTTTTTTTTGTTATTGTGCGAGATACCAAGCAAATCCACGAGAACCTCATATGACGGTACTGAAGAATATTTTCAGATATCTTCATAGAACGACCTTTTTTTCGTTGTGATATTCGTCTAATACAAGTTTCTTTATATCCGTCTAATATGAGAACCTCTTAGTGTTCTTATTTTAATCGCTCATAAATGGATTCATATGCTGATCATATTTCATTCATGGATCAATCTGCTTCTTCTGATCATCTCGTTGTAAAGAAGAATCGAAACATGATTATAGATCTTGATGCTTCGAAGCATTATACTACTGTTCAACCTCCAGTTGAATGCTTAAATCATTCAATTCTGAAGAAGGCTTTAACTCATTATGAAGATGTTTCACTTTCAGCACTAATCTTAGCCTATTCAACAACTAATTACAACAAAAAGATGGAGGTGATGAATTTTGAAATTCAAGGGCACAAAAGTGTGATTACTTAGGCTGATTTCTTCAAAATGCTAGGGTTACGTAATGGGGACGCGTATTTGAACCCTGATTTGGTTCCATCTTCAAGTATACTTCGGTTTTGTCATCAGATGGGGTATAATTCCGATTTTTTTTGTTCTTCCAAAGTTTAAGAATTTTTGTTTGCCACGAATTTGGAATGTGCTCTTTACAATGCTATTTAAGCGTTTTTGCATAACGTACTTTAGGTTCTGATAATGCTAGCAAGTTGTTCCACACTATATTATATGATTTGTATACAAATGAGAAGATTGATTTAGGTCATATTCTCTGGGCTCTGTCTGTTCAAAGACCTATGTCTTCATCAAAGGATATAGGTATTTCTTGTGCTCGGTTTTGGTCGATCGTGGTGAAGAATGCTCGTGACCACTTAAAAGTTCCTCAAATGAAAAATGTCTAGATGGCAAGTTTTCTATGATTAATACTGTTACGTTTGTAACAATGAATGCAAATAATTTTCATTACACCGGTTCAATTCAAGAGGTTATGTTGTATAAAGTTCTTGCGAACAATGAAATAATTGATATTTACAGGAAAATTCCCAAACCTTGTGAAAGACATATTTCTCCATCTCTACAAGTAGTTTTGCATGCTGGGAATGTTCAAAGGACATCTAGTGTGAAGCGAAAGTCAAAAGTAGTTGATGAAGATGTTCCTACGAAGCCTAAAACTCAAAGGAAACAAAAGAAGAAAGCCAAGGTTACTGTGGTCGATGAAGATGATGATGAAAACACCATGAGTGATGTTCGCATAGAGGATGTTGTTGCGAATGAAGATACTATGAGATCTTCTAATCCTCTTTAGTTAAAGGAGAAACCCACTACAACAGTTGTGCCTACTCCAAGTGCGAATCCTGAATCTTCGCAGATTCTCAAGGTATATACTGTTTCTTCATCTTATTTATGAGTTCAAACTGAGAATGATATTTTTCAAAATATCATTAATGAACTGATTGTTAATCTTTCACAATCCTAATCACAACATGTTTCAACCCTTTCACCACCTCAAACAAGTTCCCAAGTTCAAACCAAAACAGTTCAGATCCTAATTGCACCAATTTCATCAACTCAAACCACTATTCCACTTCAAACTCTAATCTTTACAGATTTTACTACTCCCCCACCTACTTTACAACAAAAGACTACCACAGTTTCACCACCATCCTAATAGATTCCAACTTCCAAACCAATTCAGAATGATACAACACCATCAGGGGGTGATGATGAGTTTTCTGTTAATGATGAATATGAAGTGGAAGTTAAAGGATCTTTTCTGGGTTTTACTGAACCACTTCTAGCTACATCTCTTCTTGAGGATGAGAGTGATATGGATGAAGCCACATTAGCTATTTCTATCACAAATAGGGAGTACCAGTTATTAAACAGGAAGTAAAATGTCCTTGTTCACAGAGCAGATTCATTTTCGCCAACAAATTTTCAGAACATCATGACTATTCATGAATCAACTATGAAGTTTATTCTTTTAGAGAACAAAAGGTTGTTTGATGCTCAGGAGAAGTTGGTTACTGAAACAACTATGAAAGTTTATGAAGATCTTTCTAAGGCCAATAAAGCATTGTAAAAGGTGGATTGTTCTCTCTGAAGTTCAAAATCTTAAAGCTTTAAGTGTATCTGAGAACAATGGTCATCATCAGACAATCATATGAGCTATTGATATTTTTTTGGTCATTATGATGAAGAAGAAAAAATGGCGGACATTATTGCGGAGAAGCAGAATAATATTAACTCTTTGAAGTTGGAGTTGACAAAGATAAAGAGAGATTTTGAGAAAAATGACGAGGAGTTATTACTTGTCAAAGGAAGGAATCTGGAGATCGATCAGAGATTAGTTCGCATCGTAGAACAGAAACATGCTCCACATGTGGATTATATGTCACAGATGCTCGATGTAAAGCTACAACCCATCCGTTCGTAACTGCGTGTTTCTGCAGGTGTTAGGAGTAACGGGTCTACTTCACAACAAGAGAGAGATGTTTTTGCTCAAGAAAATGTTCTTCAAGTCAATATTCCCAATCCTTATGTTGTCTTTAAACGGTCAAGAAGTATGATGCTCCAAAAATTTCAATTGCTGAAAGATATTTGAAAAGGTGTTTGGAAGAGATTATGCTAGATATTCCTGAAGTTAATGTGGGAACTAGCTCTTTGAATATTGTTTCGCATCCTGAGGTTGATCCAAATGATAAAGAGGATGTGAAGGAAGCTCAAGTGAAGAAAAATGAAGAAATAGAAAGAATGAAACAATTTTAGATTGAGTTTGATAGACAAGAAGTAGAGAAGAGAGAAAAAGAAGCCACTGAAGCAACATTGAAAGCTTTATGGCCTCAATGGGTAGTTGAGAGAATTCAAGATAAGTCTATTTAGAATGTTGAGAAGTATTGGCTCGATCCGATATCTTCTTTTTTGACTGAAAATAAGAGTGATTTTCAGTTAGATCTTCCGATGACTGCGAGAGCATTTCTGTTCAGAAGCTTTCAGAGCATTGCTGAAGTTCCTTTGTCAAATAGTGTTGCGAATAATAAACTTCTCAAGTTTTATGTTACACATTCAAAGCCACAATATGTAGTTTGGAGCTTGAAGAAGATTGTTGTAGTCAAGAAGTGCGAAGAAGAAAAGATTGATGGATATACGAACTACAAGTTTACTGTGTTGAGAGGATTAACTAAAGAACTATCTGAGTTCTCATTTACTGATCTTCCTATCATGAATCCTTATGATTGGTTTATGTTGTTTAGTCGTTTAATGCAGCAAGAATCTAAATTCGCATCTCAACTTCAACTTTAACGAATGATAAGATCATACTGCATGGAGTTATGCAAGACGAATGTTGAAGTGGTAGGAGCTTTAAATAAAAACACAAGTGTTAACCATGTGAACAACCAGATAATCTTGAAGTGATGCGAGATGGTTTTATTCAAAAAGAACTATGGGGGATTGTTTACAAAGTTCATGAAGACCGCACATGAAGAATTGTATGTTCTTTCTCCACGATAAATATTGCTATAAATCTCTTATACTGACTGGAATCCTTATAAAAGCTGAGATTTTCAAAATGAACACTAAAGAAGATCTTAAGTGCGTCTCATATATGCTTCGCAGGTGGATGACAGTTCGTAGAGTATTTCTTGGAATAATACTTGAAGTTTTTGAAGTAACAAGATGAAGACGGCTTTCACAACTCAATACAAAGAGGGAGATTGTTGGGTCTTGCTGAATAGAAAGTGTTGTGTTTGAGTTCTTATGAGAAAGTGGTTTTGTAGTTTGTTTGTTTCAGTCTTCATTTGTATATGCAAATCGTTGTGTATGGTTCTGTATGTTTGTGTTCGAATTTTTTGTATTTCCTATATATGGGCAGTTATATATATATATATATATATATATATATATATATATATATATATATATATATATAGAGAGAGAGAGAGAGAGAGAGAGAAAGCGAGAGCGAGAGAAAGAGTACATTTTGAGAGCGTTCTAACAACATTGTAATCGAGTGCTTTTACTCTCTAATGCAAATATGATTTTATTTACCTTGATGTGTTCCTACAGTAACATCTTTGAAATATGATTTCATTCTTATAGAATCTAACGATCCTACAAAACTCTTTGAGTTTCATCATACAACGTCTTTCGTAATTGAGACACATGGAAAGCGTTATGTATACCATGCAGTTCACTAGAAAGATCTAAACAACCGGCGAAAACTCCAACACATTGTAAGAGACGAAAAGGTCCAATAAACCGGGGACTCAACTTTTCTCGTTTTCTAAAACGTATATTTCCTTTTAGAAGTGAGTTATCACAAGATGTTTAAATTAAATGTATTATATAAATTAGGAAAAATCTTCGACCAGAAGTAAAGTTGAAGTTTTGAAGTGGAAAATGTAGCACAATTGCCAAATTTCAATTTTGGTGTTTCTTTCCACTCAATTAAAGTGACAATGAAAGACGAAGAGCATGCATAAATGGATCACCTAAGTGCACTCATCATCCATTTGAATGGCCTTTGTTTCTTCTTTTAGGAACCCGATTATTTTATTATTCATTATAATTTATTAATAAATACAAGAAACATAAGATATATTAAAAGGGATATTTTATAAGTTTATAGTTTCTATTAAAACAGCCAACGTATTTTTATTTTTTTATAACAACCAATCCGTTTATTCAATTTTATAATAACATGACAATTTTAATTTGTTAAAATAGGGTCGTGAATAAAGATACAAATGAACCGAACCAAGCCCGAGTCTAACCAGGCTTGAGCTCAGCTCGTTTAACTTTTTTGGTTCGAGCTAGAGCTTTGGTCGTTTCTTGACTTATGGTACGTAGCTCGAGATCAGCTTAGGAAGAACTATACAGTGCCAAGGTCGGCATATATAGTGATATATCCAAAATCATAAAAAACGTATTTATTTAAATATTTACTTATTGTAATATATCAGTGTTGCAAAAATCGGTCTAGGCGACCGATTAATCGGCGCCTAAACGCTTGGCGGTCTCCAACCGCCTACGAATAGGTTTTAGAGGGTTAGCTAATCGCTTTTGGTCAATATCGGTCAAAGTCGGTCCAATTCGGTCATAATCGGACTAAATCGGACCAACTCGGACTCCAAATCAAACCAAATCGGCTCACCTAACTCTAAAGGACCAACCAACTCAAAGGAGCCGGCTAGCCCAAAGCTTAGCTGGTTTAATTATCAAAGGAGCTTGCTTCCCTTTTTATAGGATACATTTTTCCTTCATATGTTATCCCACCAGCGATGTGGGATGAACTTTTAATTGTTTCATATCTCTTCTTTGCATCTCTTTCTTCCCCACCTTTCTCTCTCGATCAAACAACCCCTGCTCAATTGTTGGATATATACAGATGCAACCCACCGCCGAGCTACCTTTAATTCTTTTATCACTCCCTTTCAAGGATTTGAGTGGTGAAATCCGTTCTAAAATTTTGGATATGGAGAAATTAGAAGTGCTTGATCTTGAAGGTAATTCGATTCACACGACAATTAGAAGTAATTGATCTTAAAGGTAACTCGATTTGTGATTTCGTTTTCTGCGAGATCGAAGGCTGCAATTGGGACGAGGTTTGCTTTCTGGTGCGATCTGTTATTCCGATTCACCTTCAATTCAAACTCACTTGATTGAAATCGTTCGCCAACCCTGTATGAAATCCTTTGTTCTTTCTTCATTTGCTTTCTAAAATCGTTGTTAATTTGCTTTCTAAAATTATTTGTTCTTTCTTCATCTTTTTCTGGTTCGAGGTTTGTGTCTCGGTTATAACAGGTAGGGCCGAAGTGGTGGTGATGTTTGGTTGGAATGAAAACGAAGAAGCAACTCTGACATCTGTAGCATCAGGTAAGCAGTGGTTTTGTGTATGAAAAAGATTGTATCTACATGAAATCTTTAATTGTTTTGTGTATGAAACCATCTGCCCACCAAGTGTTCGATCAATTGCCTGAGTGAATGATGATAAGGTGCAACAACTGTGTAGTGGATAACTTCTTGTTAGAATTATGAAGACACATTAAAATCTCTACACAACAAGGTTCGTTCCAAGTAATTCACATCAAAGTTTCCAACATAGAATTTCAAATAAAAGATTTTTTTTAAATATTATCACACATTTTACAGGGACAACTTGCTGGCTTTTTTGTGATGAAGCACATTGTGTCAGGTATAACAATGTCTGATTCTACTTAGTCTTATAAGTCTACACTATGATATATAAACATACATACTCACTGTTGTTTATTCAGCAATTAGGGACATGATTTTCGTCCAGAT